GCGCCGGGGCGGAGCGGGGGCCCGGCCATGCGCGGGGATCCGGCGCGTTGCATCAGCCGGGGAGGCGGGAGGCAGCTCGTGCTCCCTGGCTGCGAGGAGCGCGGCGGCGGCACCCGGGGGCCGCGGGCCGCCTCCCACCACGGGGGCTGCTGAAGAGGCAGCAGCTGATTGCTTAGGACAAATGGGGGGAGGGCAGAGTGGATCCCGGGTTAATAAGGAGGGGGCCGGAAGGGCACAGGGAGCAGGCACCACGGCCCCTGAGCGCCTGTGGGTGCCCTGGGGAACCTCTGCCCGGAGCGGTGGGCGCTGGGGAGGGTTTGTCCTGCCTCTGCTGGCGCCTGGGGACCTGCTCCCCGCAGAACAGAAAGAGCAGCAGGTGGAGGGTGGTTTCAGGTCCTGGCCGGCCTGGGAGCAGGCCCAGCTACTGCATGCGGTTTTTGCAAAAACGGTTTTGTTCCTAAGGTGCTGGTAGGAGACAGCCTCCCCCCACCTTTCCTCCCCGCTCCCCCATCCGCCTGGAAATGGCCTAGAGCCAAGCAATGAATGGAGCAGGCAGGGGGTGCTGGCAGATGCACAAAGTGAAGAAGGGGAGGGTTTAAGAATCCAGTTGAATTAAAACTCTTGCTCGTTAAGGACCTGGGCATGCCAGAACAAAATTAGTGGAATGAGCTACCTCACATTTCCATGAGGTGAGCAAGGGATGAATTTACAGCATGTCCAGTGCTCTGTAATGAGGGCCTCTATGCAAGCTCTCCACTTTTGTTAAACATGAAGCAGCTTCTCTCTCAAAATATGTGGAATGAGTTTCCTTACATTTATTGTAGGAGTAGAGTGCGTGTGGGCAGTGAGATGACAGCCAAAAAGTTGCCCTTGTATAGCACTTCCGGAGGACTCTGCTTTTTCAGCCAAGGTTGATTAATGCAGATGTGGCCGTACTCTAGGTCTAGACTAATCTCCTGTGTACAGAGGCTCAGTCCCTTATGAATACTCTTGATGTGGCCCGTGACTGTGTAATCTGCTAAGAACATATGGGGCAGAACATAGCATAGAAGATAAGTCCAAGAACATAAGACTTGGACGGGTTTGAATGTGGTTTAAACCACAAGGCCAGGTGTAGACATTACACTTTTACTAGTATAATTGGTCAGAAGCTGGTCTGTACCCATAACACAACAGAAGCTGGGCACAGTAAACTGGTTTATACCTGTAACAGAACAGAAGTTTGGAGTGCACAGACTGGACTAAAAATGGCAGAACCTGGTTTTAGATTTGCACCCCAACCCTAGAGGGAAAATGTGTGTTCTGTTCACAGGTGTCCAGATGCCCAAGCCAGTTTAGAAAGGTATAAACTGTTCAGTTTAAATGTCATGGAAAGTGACCACCACATCCTGGTTTTTTGGGACTGCACTGTGGAAGCCTATGGGGACTTTTTAAAGTCCCTAAAGCAGGTGAAAACACTCTGTCCCTATCCCCTTCTTGCCCAGAGGTATGCCCGCTCCCCACCCCTTTCCCCCCTGCCTTTCCTCACTGCCTGGGGAAGCACCAGAGCTGTTCCTGCCTGCCTGAGGGCTAGGCACAGCTGGGGATGCCGACAGTGGCAGCAGGGGAATGGACAGAGGGTTTCTCTTTCTCATGCCGTGACTGGGCAGAGTGGGGGGAACTGTTTTCCAGCCACCCTGTGGCCGCTGTCCCATCCCCAACTTGAGCCCAGCCCCAACTCACCCCGGATGGCTCCGGAGCTCCCTTGCCCCTCAGCAGTGGAGAAAGCAGCAGCAGCAAAGAAAGAAGCAGCAGGAGTTAGGGGAGGGGGGAAAGGGGCTGCCTATTTGATACGCATACAGATGTGGGCATGAGCCCACGCCAAAACTGTTAGCCCCCTCTGTTTCTAGAGGGGCTGTGAAGTGTGCAGCAGCAAAGTTCTTGGGACAGCTAATGCAAAAATAGAGGCAGGAATGAGGGCCACGTTAATAACAAGTCCTCCAAGGGGGGGATACTTTGCAGAGTGCACTGGCATGAGTCCAAGGAATCAGTGGATGTTGCCCAGAGAAACTCTGCCCAGAGACACGCACAGAGGGTCAGGACGGTGGCCCCACCGTCACCAGGGCACCTCCAGGCCAGAGCCTCTTTCCCACATCTGATCAGGAAGGGGAAGGGAGGGGGATTTTCATCTGCTTTAGGGACTTAAAAATGTCCATACTGGTGGGGGTGGAAGAGGCTGGGAGCAGGGGGTGCAGCCACCCCTGCAGTGAGGGGTTCTGTTGCTGCTGCCTTGAACTTCTGAAAATCCCGGATCCACCCCGGACCTGTCTAAAAAGCTGTTCTGTATTCTTGAAGTTTTCAGTAGCTTTTTTTGGTCACCTCAGTCTGTTGCAAAATTTGCTTATGCATCTGTAACTGTAATACACTCAGCAATTCTATAGGGCATATTTCTTCTGGGATAAACCACAGCAGAACATCAGGGACCCTCTTAGATTAGCTCTAAATAGTTTTGGTTGAACTGTCAACCTAAATGTGACATATGGGATAGACTGGTTTTAACTGCCATATCAGATCATCCTGTGATCCTGTACTTTGGAATATAAGTGTACTTGTGCTGTGTAAGCAACCAACATTTACAGTATCTAAAATGGAACTTAAACCCAATTTCGTGGCCTCTCAAAGGATGCTAAAGTTATCCTTCTTCCAGGTGGACTGTTTGTTTTTAATCACCCCTATGTCAGCAGAGCCAAGCTTTGTGGACTTAAGAGACCCCTCACTAGAGTCAAGGCACTACTTGGAAAATGTCAGCTCTAAGTTTTCACTTGATTTTTGACTACCAAAAAATAATAGAGCAATTCCTTTATTGCAAAGAACTCAGAAAGACCAAAACAGGTTAAAATGTTTTTAACACTGGATTCCTACTTGAAATCTCTGCGTTTATCTTATGAACGCAGGATAGATGTTCACTTTATAGACTCAGTCAGAGATATATAACATTTATCTTTTGACTTGAGTATTACCCACCTACCGGTGCTAACATTGCACTGTGGCATTCCTGAAAGGATCACAAGGTACCCCAGGGTGCTACAGCACCCAGGTCATGAATCACTGGTCTACTAGAACGTTGTTTTTTTGGTAAGGCAGTGTTTGATTATCTGCATTCAGGAAATGTAAATGTACCTTCTACATAACTTTTCTAATAACAATGCGTTGTTTGATCATATGTCTGTTAACAGGGTTTTTGGTAGCTGTGATACATCCCTCGTCAGATTTCACAATGTGTGGCATTTGGGCCCTTTTCGGAAGTGATGAATGCCTTTCTGTCCAGTGTCTGAGTGCCATGAAAATAGCCCACAGAGGTCCTGATGCATTTCGCTTTGAAAATGTTAATGGCTTCACCAACTGTTGTTTTGGTTTCCACCGACTTGCAATTGTTGATCAGCTATACGGAATGCAGCCTATTCGAGTGAAGAAGTTTCCATATTTATGGCTGTGTTACAATGGAGAAATCTACAATTTCAAACAGGTAGAAAAAAATAATTTGATATGTAGTACAGTACCTGAGTGGCAGTGAGTATTCAGAACTTGTCTTGAACATGGTGAGTTACAATGTCAGGAAAATAACCAAATAATTCATCTTTTGAAATAAATGAGCTATATCAATTACTGCATATACGTGAGCTGGGTTAAAATCTGTACAGTAGCCCATAAAAATTTCACACTGAAACATGACTGTGGATAAATAGCAAGAGGGAAAATAATTGCTAAGGAAATCTATTCTCATTTCAAGCTTCCTAGGGTGAGTACATTGTCAGTGCTTTCTAATAAAGCAACATGAGCTGGAAAAAAGTATAAAATTGTATTAAAAAAGTGAGCATCATCTAATATTTGGTATCTTAGTTGGGGTGAGTTCTGTTGTATGTCTTGTGTTATATGTATGTTTTCTATTTTATTTTAACATATTGGCTGAGATGGGACCTGTCTCCAGTATCAAAGTAAATGAACATTGCATAGATGATCCCAATGGGATGGGATTTCAAATGTATTTACTTTTGCGAAGATGCCTAGTGGAATTTTTTGAAGACATCTAAGCAAGTGCCTTTGATCTCAATGGAGTTTGAGTATGTGTACCCCAGTTTCATGGCACTGTTTGGATGGGATGCTTTTGAGCATGCCCTTCTCACCTATTCTCTCTTCCATGCTCCAGTATGCTTGAGAGTGACTGTAAAAGGATATCTCCAGAGCAACTTCTCCGCTTCATTCCTGGGTTTGGCATATGCAGGCAGGAGTGGATGGGCCGGGTGTTGTCAGGAGCAGTCTTTCCCAAGAGTGCCCCTGAAGCTATGTAGACTCTCACCCTGTATACCTCACCTGTGGAGACACCTTTGAAAAAGTACTAAAACCGTTAAGTTCCTAAATGCTTTCAAAGATCTGACACTTTCCGTCCCAATATAGTATCTTCCTGACCTGGGGACTGTGTATTCAGTCCTTCCAGGATGCTCAAGGTACAATGAATAGGGACCTAATCAAATCGCAGTTTTGCGGATCATAAAATTGGGCGATGTCCCTCAAATCTGCAGGGAAAAAAAACTTACTAAAAAAATGCTGGCTCCCTCGTGGGAGTGCAGCCTACTGTGGGGGAGTGGGCTGATGAAACAAGGGCAAGCAGGCAAGATGGGTGCTGCCCCTGCCCCTTGCCACTGATTAGCTAAGAGGGTTGCCTGTCATGCAGCCCTGCCCCTCTCCACCAATCAAGGACAGGGGGCAAAGCCATTTGACAGACAGCCCTCTCCAGTCACCAGCGGGGGGTGGGGCCACCTCACGATAAGCCTGTGAAAAAGGTGGTCGGCCCTGCGATCTGCTGGCGAAATTGGCCAGCCACCTCCTTAGTTGAGTAGACCCCTAATAGTAAATAATATGTCTAAGTACTGCTAAAAAAGCATTATTCTATAATGCTCACACATTCAAACTCTTGCTGAGGTCATTGAAAGTTTGTGTATATGTAAACAACATCTGTTGTGTGTGGACATGGGGTGAATTTTAACACAGTGTTGTTCTCAATAGCATTTACAACTCCCAGCAATCCTATCATACTGCAGAACAAAGCAAGTATTAAAGATGCAGTAACAGCAAATCTGAGAGATTGCTGAGTTCTGCAGTATGTCAAGGTCATTCTCAGTAGCATGTACCGCTTTCAAAAATCAGACTCCGAACATGGACCCAGACTGGCAAAATTTGTGTTACCGTTAGTGGGAAATGTATAATAATAGGTGCTTAGCCTATTAAAAACAGGGATCTGAACCCACATTTCCCTCCCCCAGCTGAGTGCCCTAATCAGTAGGCTAAAGTCAGACTCCTTGCTTTCTTTCTGAGCCCCATGAGTCTTGTGTTCTTGGTGGCCCAACTTCAGCAGGAAGTGTGGTAGGTGCTCCCATATAGCAGCCTATAGGTGTGTGACTGGATACTGGAGAGTCACCTGGCTGGGGTCTCTTGACCCCAGTTGTCTTTTTCTGCCTAGTGCAGGGGGGCTGGACCCAATGATCTACAAGATCCCTTCCAGCCCCTAACAATCTATGAGAGGACATTTTTGTGTAAAAGGGAGACTTAGGCATGAAACCCTCAGGGCTGAGAACTCGGATCTCCCATGGAGTGCTGTAATCACTGGGCTATTCTATGAAGTATGGCAGGTAGCAGAATTCCTGCCGTAATCCATATCTTAAAAATAGTGAGGGCTGCGTAGGCACCTAAACTCAGAGGTACATATTGCTTCAACGCCCTTCCTATCTGTTTAGAGTCCAATATGCAGCCCTGAGTCAGGTGCCTACGCTTCAGACAGGGGTGAGAATTCAAACACACCCCTGTGCTCAGTAGTTCCTATTGAATAGGTGTAAGAGGTTCCCTGTTCAGCATGTAGGTTTTTATGAATTGCCCTTCAGAGATGCTTAGATCCCCTTTGTCTGCATGGTAAGCCTTGGCTCCCCATTCAGCCTCCTTAATCGCCCAACAGGGAATGAGCACCTGATTTTTAGGGATTGTGATGCTTAAGCTGGAGATACCAAAAGTGTCCGTCAGGATCTCAAGAGTGAAAAACAGACTTTCAGAAGTACTGAACATCTGCTTTTTCAATTTTGGAGCTGAGAATGCTCAACGCTTCTGAAAATCAAAGCCATATGTTTACACTTTTATATCCAGAAATTGAAATAAATGTACACAGTTTAAAAGCACTTTTGAAAACATCCTTGAAAGTCACTTCTTTAAGATTGCACAGGGACCCTGTGGGTAGTTGGGGAAAGAACCCTAAGCACAGCTGAAATAAAAGGGCTTTGTGCATATAAAAATGTCAAACAGCTTTCAAACTCTTCTCCACCGGGTACTTTACATATCTTCTTGCATACAACACACGCTTTTCCCAAAATTAGCTCCCCCCAAATTGGGGTGCATGTATTAAGTGGGGAAGCTGATCTTTTCTGAGTACAATAGGAGTACCCTGCTTAGATTTCTGCTTCACACTGTAGCAGCTATGATACTACTATTCAGGCAGCTGAGGGAGTCAGTCGACTTAACAGCTCCTTGTTCTCCCCAGGTGTTAACAATTGTCTCTCCTTTTTCATGACCATGATGTTCCACTAATCAAGCTCATCTTATTAGGGTAATTTTGCTATCTGTTAGTTGCTCCTGGTCTTTCTCATCCTATTTCACAGTCTTGGAAACTTTAGCTCTTTCAAAATCGTAGCTCTACCCATGCAGATCACTTGTGATCATTTAGGGTTTCAGCTTTTGTTGAAGAAGAAAAGGAGGGTGAGTCAGCTGAAGATTAGGCTCTGTCCCTGCCTTTTGCAGCCATAATTTGGAAAAAAAAATCTTTATTCTGACATTCAAAAACAAGATGTGTATTATAATTTGGGGCATGTTTTGTGCAAGAATACAGTATATTTTCTTGTTAACTACAAGCAAGTAAATGTGTGTCTGTTTTTGTTTAAAGTAAAAAATAATGCAGTCAGTGAATGTTAATCTTTTCTTTCTAATAATTTTCCTTAGTTGAAAAAACAGTTTGGATTTGAATTTCAAACTTTAGTGGATGGCGAGGTGATTCTTCATCTATATAGCAGAGGAGGAATAGAGCAAACAGCCTCCATGCTAGATGGTGTATTTGCATTCATCCTGCTGGATACTGCAAACAGAAAAGTGTTTCTGGGAAGAGATACTTATGGAGTGAGGCCATTGTTTAAAGTGCTGACCGAAGATGGATTTTTGGGTGTTTGCTCAGAAGCAAAAGGTAAAATCTGTAAAATGTAGGCTTTGCTGTTACAAAGTCTGGGAGGAAAGCTGCTTTCTCTTGATAATCCTTAGGAGAGGCATACTTAAGTGAGTAGCAAGGCAATTAATAATGGTATCTAATCAGTCAGTCTAAAATGTAAAAATTGGCTGCTCTTATTTAAAAAAAAAATAGAACTTAATTTGCACATCTAAAGAATACGTGGACTTAAAAATTGACTAAGTTGTCTTTATAATGTCTAAAATCATTTATCTGCTTTTTGTTGGTTTGACTTCAAGTATGTTTGTTTCTGACATCAGAAAGAAATTTGAAGTCTGTATTTAACTATTAATTGGGACTCAGGAATCAAAGTTGCAGTAGATGTGTGTCTGTGAGGTCAGAATTTGGCCCTGGAGATTCTTAGGAGATTCTCATTGAATTCTGATTTTCATTCAGAGGGGCATACATTTTTTATGTCTGGAGACTCTTTTTTGGAAGTTTGATATCCTGAAAGATTTTTCCACCACTTCTTTTTGTAGAAAAATCAAATTTTGGGACCATAGACATTAACTTAGTTGAACACTACTAAATTGAAGTAGGGAAGGAGTTCATCTGAATAACATACAAGTCAGTCTCTTTTCTACTCATTTATGCTGCTTTTGGTTATTGGCATCCACATTAAGTTCACTGTTTTTATGGTTTGGATCTCATTAGACTCAATTCTGCAACTTTGTGAGTTAAAAATACTGTAGGGATTACTGCAATGCTAATAAGGATTACAGGAGTGATATTACGATTCACTTCTGACAAAGCTGAGATAAATTTATTTTGGAATTGATCAAACTGCATCCAGATGACTATCTGATGCTATATTACATTTCAGGTTTTTCAAAATGCTTCCTTTAATTTCTTCAGAAGTGGCAGCTAGAAGGCAAATAAAATATGGCCATTGACAATTTACTGCAAGGCTGATCTGCAGCCTGCACTAGAAACGCCATGAGCAGGGTGAGAGTCTATCATTTATTAAATATAAAAGTTCTAAATTAATATAACTAACTTATTTTAATATACTAAAGCAATGACTTTGGCCACTTGGTGATATTATAAATCTTTCACTACTTTTAATATGTAAATTGTGCCTTTCAAGCTCTCATAAGCAGTCATAATTATCAATTAAAAATGAGTACTAGTCAGACTTTACTATGTGCTGCACAGGAGTCTGACATTGCTCCTGGGAGATGAGGCATGGGCTTGGACTATCTTGGGATGAGGAGGGGAGTTAAACTTTTGTTCCAGACTTCCTGGATAAGTTCTCTAGGCACAAATATATTTTATAAAGCAAGGATCCTGCCACTTGGTTTTGTAAAAGAAAACTTTTCAAGTGCCTACCTTCAGGAGGCCTCTGCGTATCCCCGAGTAAAGCACTTAAGTCCCCCAAACGAGAGGGATTTCAAGCACACCACTTCCCTGAGTGTTTTTATCAACTACCTTTAGGTGGGTCCCCACCAAGTATACAGACTCCTTTGAAGCCTAGTCTGAGGTTCCTACCAATCTCCATTCACTGTATAGGTAGCACATACGCATTAGTCAGAGTTCTGGATTCCTCAGAGGCCAGGAGCTTAAAGTTTGGCCCTGCGGTGTCTATACTGCTTGTATTTACTACGCACTACTTCTGCTTTAACAACCCCATCTGTAGTTCATAGGATTCCTGCAACAGAAGAGTCATCAAACATTATGGTATCTCCCTATCTTTGTGCCGGCTAGCAAAGGATCACATCTGGAATGTTTGTTATACAACTCATTTATAATCTGGAAAGGAATATTTCATGCTTCTAAGCATAGTACTGTTAGAGGCATTGCTACTTACATAAAAACTCTTGAAATTTCCTTACTTTGTTTTCTTGTCTGTAGGTCTTATGAACTTAAAGCACTCGATGTCTTCTTGTCCTAAAGTGGAGCCATTTCTTCCGGGACACTACGAAGTATTGGATTTAAAACCATCTGGTAAAATTGCGTCGGTGGAAGTGGTAAAATTTCACAGTTGTAAAGATGAACCTCTGCATGCTGCCTATGATACCGTGGAAAGTTTGCCTTCAGGTAACACAGCAAAGCAAAAATAAATTTACGTAAACCCATTTAAAATGTAATCAGAATACCCCATTATTTAATCATTTTGGTATATATGTTACTTGGATTGTTTGGTATAATTGGTATTACTTGGAAGAAAGCAGAAATGAAGCTTTCTATAAAGGAAGGACGTCATATCTTGGGCTGTCTTTGTACCGGCTGCTTCTGAATATATTGGGGCTTGTACATCCTTGCCTGAAATCCATTTGATAACAAATTACTTGGATTCAACCAAGTTAGGAATGTCAGTAAAGTCATAACAAAACCTCTAATTGGATGTTTTCCTGTTTTACCTTTTTCAACAGGTTTTGAGCTTGAAACTGTTAAAAGCAACATTCGGATTCTGTTTGAAAATGCTGTTAGAAAACGTTTGATGTCTCACAGAAGAATTGGTTCTCTTCTGTCAGGTAAATAACAGGACTTCCAGTCCTTATACTTATTTTTGCCATCTAAAAAGTGTTTATTTACTATGGTTTGTCAGTGCTCTATCTACAGTTATAGGAATGCTAATTAACCTTTTCTGTTACAATGTTCATCAGAAATCTGAAGTATTTTTTGAAAATTGTCATCTTTATAGAGCCTCGCTAAGGTGTTGAGCTGTGCTCTTTTTGACTGAATGACCATTATTCACCAAGAAGAAATGCAGTTATAACATTCTGTTCAGTCCATTCCCCAACATACTCTTAAAAATGAAGGACTGTCAAGCTCCATGTGAGAGCAAAGCCAGAAACAGATGTTGCATTTCTCCTTGGACAAGCTATGTCTGCGTTTGTCCCAGGATTGGCGCGAACACACACATCACTCTCTTCTGGTCAGGATGTAGAGAGCAGCTAAATGCATTGCTTCCCTTCTGCCATTGATTCAGTGATGCAATCCTGGGATAACTATAGAGATGCACTGTGCCATGTCGTACTGTAAACTGTTAGTACTTTTTGTCTTGACAACAGAAATGAACATTTGAATGATTGCACTTTGTCCCAGTGTTTGTCCCACTTTGTTTTAGCCTTGGGTCTGACATTTCATTTTTTTTATTTGTAAAATTACTGACAATCAGAGTTGTAGTAGGCTGTGCATATAGGCATCCGTGGCTTAATTAGATGCACGTACCATGTACTCAGTGAGATGGATGTTTGAATAAAACAGCAGTTGTTATGCAGAGTGAGTAGCTGAAGCCCTGGTGGGGGTGGGGAGCAGAAATAGGTGGAATATTTCAGAAAGAGTGTTTTTGCCAAAAAATGGAAAAAAAATACAATTTTGTGTTGTCTGCATAAAATATTTGGAGCAAAAAAGAAATCTTCAGGAAAGTCAAAATATCTGGTGATGTTATTATCATAACATTTACTTTTTTAAAATTTGAAATGAGGTTTCAGGACCAAATTTATATAAATGTAATTTAAAACATTTTATAATTCAATGGGGAAAACACTGAAAATGGGGCCAAAGTCTTTATTTGTTGTCAAACTAAGAGTCTTGGTTGATCCAGAACTAATGTCTAGGAGGGTGGGCTAGTTCAGCCAGCAAACTGAGAAATTAATTATTCTCACAACCTGTAAACAAATTTATCAGAGGTATATCATAGAAAATTAGAGTTGGAAGGGATTATCTAGTTCAACCCCCTGCTCAAAGCAGGACTGTCTCCAACTATATCATCCCAGCCAAGGCTTTGCCTAGCTAGGTCTTAAAAATCTCCAAGGAGGTATATTGAATCATAAGCATCAAGTGGATGAAGAAAGCACTTTCATAATGGAAATGACATGGATGATCAGTCCAATCTTAAAAGGTTGGGTATGGAGAATATTTTAAAATCTTTTAAAAATCATTGTTCTATCTTCCCTTTATGTATATTAAAGAAGGATTCCTGTCAAGCTTGCTGGACATCACGTTGCATTAGTAATTTCTACTACAAATGTTCCACTGAAATTGTATAATGTCAACTTTATCATTTAAGGCTGTATTTCACACTCATAAGTATATTTCATACTTTAAGTTAATACAGCCTTTAAGTAATAAGGCTGCCTTAAATCTTTTTTCTGTTGTACAGATATCAGTGCCTTAAAACAATAATAAAATTATTTTGTTGGTAGGAGGGTTGGATTCCAGCTTGGTTGCTGCAGTCCTCCTGAAGCTGATGAAAGAATCAAACATCACATACCCCTTACAAACCTTTGCAATTGGTATGGAAGACAGTCCTGATTTACTGGCTGCCAGAAAGGTATGGTAAACAATTTATTTTTTTTCAGTTTACACTGTAGCATGATCAATGTAACTCTATATTTTAGTATGACCACTGCTTTTGCAATTGCATTACGGAAGCGAAAAAAGCCCAAAACATTCTCTTCATGGGCTGCTGGTGCCTCCTAATACTGCGGGGGTCCCCCAGGAGCTGATTTCAGACTGGGGACAGTGGGCCGAGGGGGGGAGGCCTGAGCGTGTGTGCATGCGTGTGTGCTCTCCCCCATGCGAAAGTCTCCTGTGGGAGGGGAAAGGGCTATGGTGGGGGAAGGTAAAGAGGTTGGGGCTGGCACCAGGGAAGGATCGGGCTTGGGGCTGGAGTCCCCTGCACCCATGCGGTTGCCCCTTCTCCCATGTTAGGGGTCACTGCCTGGTGCCAGCGTCCACTGCCCCCCAGCCCTGCACTGGCCCTGGCTGCCTCCTCACACTGGCCCCAGTCCAGTCTCAGCCCCACACTGTCCAGAGGGGCCCAGAGCTGGAGTAGGGCCAGCTTTGGCAGTGCCACTGGGCCGGCAAAAACGGAGCCTCCAGGATCCAGGACCCCCCACCCCACCTAAGTCGTCCCCAGTGGCTCCAGCAGGGTTGCGGCTCTGGGGACACAAGCCCCCCAGTTTTTTCACGGGGCAAGGGCCGGCTGCAGCTGCAAGGCGAGCTGGGCTCTGCCTGCTCCACACTTCTGTGCTTCACTGCAGCCTTTGAAAGAAGGCGTGGCACCATGTGTGCCCCGCAGCTGGGCAGGTCGGGCAGTGAGGCACATGGCGCTGTGGTGTGCTGCTTTCAAAGACTGCAGCAAGGCATGGAGCAGGCAGAACCCAGCTTGCCTCGCAGTTGCAGCCTGCCCTTGCCCTGTGCAAAGACTGGGGGCGGGGCATGTGTCCCCCTTGGCTCTCCAGCACCATGACTCTGCAGGGACCACTGGGCTCTGCTTGTCCCACGACCTGGCCCGGCTGGGGCTCCATTCACTGTGAATGGGGCCCTGACCAGGCCAGGTCATGGTGCAATCAGAGCCCAGCGGCTTGTACAGGGACGCAGCACTGGGGAGCCAAGTGGTTGGGGGAACGTGCCACCCCTCCCTTGGCTACCCTGCTGTGTGCACACTGGTGGGAGCTGCTGGGCTCCATTTGCCCCACGACCTGGCCCGTTCAGGGCCCCATTCACTGTGAACAGGGCTCCGTCCAGGCTGGGTCATGGGACAATCCCTACAGTGCAGCAGGCAGGGGTGGGGATGAATGATTCACCGCTTCCCCTAGCCCGCTCCCTTCTGCGCTGTGGGGTTCTTGATCTCCCTCCCCAAGAAGAAATCTTACTTACCTGCATGTGCCTGCTGTGCTGGGCTGGCTGCCAGCCCCTCCCCCTGCTGCAGAAGCCTGAAGCTGGGTTGCCTGGCGGCAAACCCGGAAGTGCTGCTGGCACTTCTCGCGGGGGCCCGGCCAATCTCAGGGGGTGCATGTGCACTCAGGTGCACCCCCTATGCATCGCCAGTGATTCTCTCAATAGTTCTCTCTTTTGGATGGATCCAAAGTTTGATGTAAAATTAAGTTTACACAGCATTGGCTTTGCTTCTGAGTTAAATCTTGCAGCAGCAAGAGCTTTGGCTTTATTTGAAAGACCTTTCTGAGACCAAGGCTACTAATGCATCATCACCAAAAAGACCATGGCTAAGTTTAAACAGTTAAAGCCCAAGGCTGAATCAGTTCAATCTTTGCAGGTGAGTCTAAGCTGTGTAGATTAAACTGATAAGCAAGTGAGGAGACATTCACTTTTTGTTTCTGGAAATGCATCCACATGCCTGCAACAGCCCAGGTCAAGCCGGGGTATACTAGAGCAGTTGTTCTCAACCTTTTTTGTACTGGGACCTATTTGCAAAGATCAATGGCTTGTTGCAACCCATACCACCCTGGCCTTGCGCCTAACCCGTAATACTTCCCACCCATCCCCCTGGACACAGCCTTGGTGCCCAGCCACCTTCCATCAGTGCGAGCAGGCACCTGCCCCTCTCCCCCATGCCCATCTCCTCCACACATGTGTGCACACATACACGCATGCACACACCACCTCCTCCACTCCAACAGTTCCCAAGCCCCAGCCCTCCAACCCCAACTTTCCATACACTTACCATCATCTGGTTGCTGGGGCTGCTCTTATGACCCTGCCGGCTGCATGCTGGCCACAGCGCGAGCAGCCCCTTGCAGGCCGGAATGGTGCCAACTTGCAAGGGGAAACCCATGCTTTTGTGCATTTTTCTGGTACTTGCTCCTGACCCTTTGAAATATTCTTCTGACCCCTTTTTGGGTTATGACCCATGGTTTGAGAAACACTGCGTTAGAGCATGCCTCCTTGCTTAGTTGGGGCTAGCCCGCCCACCCTGCGATGTGGCAGTTTGGGACTGGGATGCTGTGGGACTGTAAGTTAAATTTGGATCTGGAGTGGATCTGGGACACAAGTTCAATAAATCAATTTAATCTACATCGGTTCGGTATGATACTACATCTATCCAGGTTTATCTTAAACTAGTTTCAGCGATTTTGAAAGTGGTTTATGTGCACTGAACTTCTGTTGTGTGACAGAATTGAACCGGTTTTCAATCACTTACACCGGTGTGTTTGTAATTTCTGTCCGTAGCCCATGTGTCAAAGGTGCATCAACTCTGCCTACATCTGTAGCCAAGTCTTAGGATAAATGACTAACTTCTACATCCTGGAAGAAATGTGTATGGGGTATCTAATTTTGCTCTTGCAAAAGTTTTAGTTACCTCAAATTTAATTAGCAATTAATCTGTTAAATCTAAGGGTCTCAGACTTAAGTGTAGATACTTTTTGAGGGAATCATGCTGTCTTTTGGACTGTTCAGCACTTAAAATCAAATACGTTGACTACTTATGTCCCTTACGAGTCCCATTGCACTTTGGGGAGCGTCAGAATTGGAATTTAGTATAGTGAGAACTTTTGTTTAGGTTATCAAATTTCCCACTGTAGGTTCCAGTAGATAGCATAGTTTTGTCCCAGTTTCACTTGTTAAGTAATCATGGTAAGAGTTTGTTGAAAAAGAGACTGGGCATTTCTGATGTGCCGTATGTATTTGTACAGTGTTTTCAATTGAAATCATTCCATCATTGTAAACAGGTAGCAGCTCACATTGGCAGTGAACATCATGAAGTAATATTTAATTCTGAAGAAGGCATTCAGGCATTAGAAGAGGTTATTTTTTCCTTGGAAACCTATGACATTACAACAGTAAGAGCTTCAGTAGGTAAGGTTTGTAATATTATTAAGCATTGATGTATAGTTTTATACACGCACATTATCCTCATAGACCATTTAATGGTCAGAGAAACCAGTTTTATTTCCAATTCTACTGTTGCTTCAGTATTAGACAATGGGCAAGTTATTCAGTTTCTTTGTACTTCACTTTACCTATGAAGAGATGTATGCTTATGTTTCTGAGGCTTTGAGGTCCTTAAATGAAAGAAATATATTAATAGATTTTGAGTCCACATTAGGTTTCCTACTCTACTGTTTCTCAGCTTGTGGTTCTTAGCTTCTAACAATGGTGGGGTTATGAGGAATTGGAAATTTTATTACAGCCTAATTAAAGACAACTGTACCCCTCCTCTCTCTGCATCCCCATAAATTCTAATGCCAGCTATTCTGTTAACTGTTAGAAATACATGCAGAAACAAGTTTTACATAGGTTTATTGCTATTAATTTGATATGTATTTACTCTTACATTAACTGTAAAAGTGAGGGAGTTGTGAACATTTTTACTGCGGAGGGTTGTGAACCTGAAGAGATTTGAGGAACATTGATCTATCCTGAACTCTTGTATAATACAAACAACAGAATTTTATCCAGGACTCGTGTTTTGAGTGTAACAACTTTGTTTTAACTACTGTACATATCTCCAAGGAAAGTCACCAAGGACTAGAAAACAAAAGCAAGTTTTCATGAATGGTTGACATTTTACAATAAGCAATACCATATGTACTTGCATACTACACACAGCTTTCCTCCCAAAATCAGCCCTTCAAAATTGTGGGGAGGCTAGTTTTAATTTATCTTAAGCAGGGAAGCTAGTTTTCATGTGTTGGAACAGAAGCAGGGGGATGCTATGCTCCAACGGCTGACACTTGTTTCTGCTTCAGCAGGCAGCAGAGGTGGGGTCTATTTGTAACCTTCTCACAGCCATAGCTATTGGCTGAGCACTGTAGCTTGTGCTTGAAGTAGCAATTTTGCTGGCTGAGCTGTCTATAATATTTTGATGAGGCTTGTTGTGTAGAAACAACACTTTAAATATTTATCGTAACTTACATAAAGAACAATCTACAGTAAAGAAGTAGCAGTCTTGCTACTCCCCTCCCAAGGGTCCTGCCATACCAGGAAGTTCCTGCTGCCTCACCCAGATATCTTCTGGGATGCCACACTTAGTGAGTGCTCCTAGTTTCTAGGAGGACTTACTCTTTATGTCACATGTTTGGCCATGGATGTGGGAAAAAATCTTTTTTTCCCCCTACATTACGCTTCCAAAAAACAGTTTGTGTGTCTTATTTTGTGGCATGTGGTATGTAAGAAAATATGGTATTCAGAGTTTGACCTGTTTTTCATATTTCTTTTCTAGATACTCTTGTTCCCACATGGGTATTATTTAATATGCCAATGAAGTGGAACCCAGTAAAATAAATGCCTATAAAATGTCTAAAAAATAATACACTTCTTGTTACAAAGCCAAATTATGTAAAATAACTTCAGAAAAGTGGGCAAGTTCTTGGCAACCGTCAATCCTCTGAATCATGATGTATGCACAAGAGGTCTATATGACCATCACACCAAAACCTTCAGCACGTATACTTAGGCAAGAGTCTGGAAGTGGAGGCTGCCCTAGTCCTACCAGCCTCACTTTTGACCATCAAGGCAGAATCGAAAGGCCGGGCCAAGTTCAGATGTTCAGTGCCTGAATGGTTGTAGCTTTTACCAGTGAACAACAGATTAGAGCTGCTGCTGACTGCCTAGCGCCTCTGCAAGTGCACATTTCTGTCAAAGGGTGATGCCCCTTTTCTCCAATCAAGGAGTACCCACAAGGCAGTTTTAAGGAGTCCTAGACTTGCCTTACTCTGGAGGTTGCAACACTGTAGTATTTTATAGGAGCTTCCCTGCCACAAGCGTCTCCACTATGTTGCCACCACCCTTCCAGTCAGATGCAGTTTATGGGGTGAAGTAAATTCATTAAAAATCATGTTAAGAAAGTTTGAAAAACAGTAAGATTTTTATCATTTTAGTTCAAAAAGTGAAGTTTACATATTTAATATTTGTTACTTCTGTGGATTAATCTTAACTAATGAGCCTGTTATCATTCTTATATTTCCTACAACTAAGCCTGTATTGAGGAAGTCACTTCTATTCACAACAGTGCTTAAGCTTAATTTTAAGTATGTGTTTAAATTCTGTTAAGTCCATAGGGTTTATATATATGCTCAAGTACTTTCTCAGATTGAGATCACATATTTCACTCCAACTATTTGTGCTTTAAGGCTGGTTGCAGGAGTGTACACAAACAAACGGCTTTGTTTCATAAATAGATATAAAGGTATGCAGTTAGTAATATTATTCTGACAATGAAAACCAGAAAGAAATGCCCTTTTTGTGTATTAACTTTTTCTTACCATAAATTAATATGAAAAGAAACATTTTGATTTAGCATATTAAGTATTGTCTATTTACAGTTATAGAAGCAATCGAAACATTTTGTGTAGTTATAACTTCATTATAATGACTTTATTAATTTGTTTTTAGGTATGTATCTAGTTTCAAAATACATACGCAAGAAAACAGACAGTGTTGTCCTTTTCTCAGGAGAAGGCTCAGATGAACTGGCACAAGGATATATCTACTTCCATAAGGTAAATTACAGTATTTTTTCACACACGTAAAAAATAGTTTTATTTGTGCACGCACACACTTTGTTTCAGTGTTTTCACTGAAACAATCAGAATAGTACCTAATGTTTTTCTGTTGTTGGTACTTATCGTTTGCAAGTGAATAATAGTTAAAATGAATGCTTGAAGTAGTTTCTAAAACTTCTATCTTGCAAATGCTTCTTTTTGAGTAGTTCTGTATGTGACTAATTCAACAAAACTGGAATATGTAAGTTTTAAGAGGATATCACATATCCTGTCTAGAATCTAGGTATTGTCTTTACCTCAATTTCTTTTTTAGAGATCATCAGTTACCTTTTTTTTGCAATATTTTTAATGTGAATGTGTTTTTTCTTCCTATACTTTAAAGGAAAATTTAGGTTGGTTAAAGTGCCAGATGGAGACTGAAGGGCAGAGCCTCAGCAGATATAAAATGTCACAGCTCTGCTGACACTGAGGCTATGACAGCTCGCTCCAGCAGGGGATATGAGACAAATTTCTCCCTTCTCTTATAGCAACAGTAGGGTGCTCTGCCTACTGTCCTGATGATGCAGAGACTATTTCTGAGAGAGATTCTCACTGTTCAGTTCTTGATATCTATTCTGGGATTAAAGTGTGAAGCTAAGAAACTGTGCAGGTTTACACTTATTGTGAATTTGGCCTGATCCGTTTATACTTTTTGGATAGCATCTGTCACTGAGCTCATCTTGATTTGTGGTGAGAATTGTAGTAGTAACAGACATGCAATATTTATGTAAAATTTTACATTCAGCATCCCCACTTACATGCTCCAAGAATTAATAATGTGTTTGAGGACTGATCATTTTTTATACTCCTGGTTTCCTTTTCCAGGATTACTTATGCCTTACACAGTTTCCTAGGATGGTGTTGTGTGGCAGTCTTTGGTGTATTTTCAATAGAACATGATGTAACTCTTGGGAAATATACAAAAGCTCATAGCCTAGGTGTGGGATCTGAAAAGGTGTTGGTATATGAACATGCAAGTTTTGTGTGTGTGTTTCTTTGTGTGCGTGAGTGAGGAAGGTAGCAGAAAGATTCCTAATAAACGGGCTACTATGTAGTCTCAATTATTTAGAATTTTCTTAAACATCTGGCTTGTGCTTTAAATCTGTGCAGATCACTGTACTGTGATCACTGGAAATCCACTTAGGACCATACGTATGAAAGTAGGGCCGCAAGAGACCTCACAAAATCATCTAGCCCAGTTCCTAGCTCAAGGCAGGATCATCCCTGACTAAACCAACCCACCCAAGTGTCTGTCTAACCTGCTTTTGAAAGTTTCCAAACGTGGAAATTTCACAACTTTTCTAGGTAGCCTGTTCAAATGCCTGACCATTCTCATAGTCATACAGAGCCTATACACTCGCAGGGGAGGCTTCTCCGATGTGCT